TTTGTACTACTGTGCAGACTGCCTCAGGTAAGACAGACTGCCTCAGGTAAGACAGACAGTACGTACTACTACGCAGACTGCCTCAGGTAATACAGACGGTTTGTACTACTGTGCAGACTGCCTCAGGTAAGACAGACTGCCTCAGGTAAGACAGACAGGTCGTACTACTGTGCAGACTGCATCAGGTAAGACAGACAGTTTGTACTACTGTGCAGGCTAGCTCACACATGACAGAACGTACTACTATACAGATTAGCTCACACAGGACAGTGCATTCTACTATGCAGACTGTGTCGGTTAAGGCAGTGAGTCCTACTATTGAGTCAATGCCTCCTACTACACATACGTAAATTACTGTACCGTACTTTATACCATAATTTCACACACAACTCCAAGTACACTTCGTTTAGATAGCCAGTTGCCTACTAACATTACATCATGCAGTCATGAGCTAATAATAATGCATTATTAGCTCTTGATTGCATGTTGGCATTTCAATCTTGGCATGATGGTTTTGTTGTAGAATGTATGCAGAGTGTGCAAATATAGTGTGGTGACTGTTCCCTTGTCAGTTAATGACAGCCATATTGTCATTCTAGGGCATGTTTAGTTGCAACTATCCGATCATCGGGAGCTAGCCAGAGCACCATAAAGCTGGTTGCCACTAATCTGATCGCAAATGGCAAATTGTCAGGTACATTTGTTTTATTTTTAGTTCTTTTTAGAAAAGTGTGAAATTGATAAGAGCGTGAGATTTTTAGTCATCCTATTATTTACACTGTCAGGATTTGACACAATCTGATCGACTCTATGGCCACTAAATCTCTATGATATCCAGGAAATATAGTGGTTCAACGTGGTCCAAATGAATATAAATGAAATAACAAACAAAATTATTGCTTGAGTAGTAAGTCACTGTAAGTAGAAGGTTGGGTTACAGCTGGTAATGTAATAATGAGAATGACTGTATAATTTGCACTGTAGATGTGTGTGCATGTGCGTGCGTGCATAGATGTAGGTGTGTGTAACAGGTGGCAATATAATGTGGTTTGATGTATTTGATGTGTATCTGTATCTTTCCGTACTACAGAGGGCATCCAGTTGCTGTGTCTGATAGATAAGGGCATGGATGCTTGCCGCTACTTGCAATCATACGGAAAGTGGAACATGGCAGCATGGCTAGCCAAGGTACTACAGGAAACATCAAACCTATAATCCTTCAATCCATTGTCATCAGCTGAGACATATAAGCAATTGTGAGAGCCCAAGATTAAGTACGGAGAAGCCGTGTAAAGTATCTGGGAGATGATTTCACATGAAATTGTCAGTTAGAGTAACACACTTAGACTTTAGAATATGCCATAGATTATTTCTCTTCTTGTTTTTAGAGCACATTGGACTATAGTGAGTGTTTGGAAGTGTTCAAACGATGGGTGGAACACCTATGTATACCTACTGTCAACCTTAAGGTAACAAAACCCATGTATTAATGTGAGACCAGAAAATATTTTTTGTTTGGTTGCAACTTTTACTGCTAGTGTTTTTTAAAACTAGATTATATTTACTTTTACCTGGAAACATATATGCGTGATGTGTTTTATCTTTTATCTAAGCTAATGGTACTTTTGTTGAATATATTTCAGTCTAAGGCAGTATTAATTCTACTGTCACTGGGACAGTTTAACAAGGTCATTGAGATGCTGTACAGTATGCGACAGTTCAGGCGTGCGGCCCTGTTCATCGAAGCATGCCTGGAGTTTGAAGTGCTGAACATTTCGTCAGATAATGGTATCCTTTTCGGTTTATTATTCATGTTCCCATGTATTACTGATACACAGGGTTGGAACAAACCTATAGCCCATATGAATATGCTTTGTTGCCATCCTTTACAGCACGTTGTCTAGGTAGTTCTGTTATGGCGAAACGTAGTGTCTATCAAGTGGGTTGTACCATTAATTTAAATTTTGTGGTTCCTTGACGAATCCGTTAACAGATGCTCTGATAGAGGCTGTGTACCTGGAGTATGGGCGTTACCTGTCTAACCTTGGAAACAAGACGGCAGCGGTACACTACTGTGGAAAAGCTGGAGATAAGGGACAACAGCTGCGCAAGGAGCTAGATATACTGTTTGAGCAATAGAGACAGAGACAGAAGACTTGAACTGTGAAGCTACATATATGGCAGCTTTGTATTGAGGCTGTGGGGGAAATATTCGCACAAAAATGGTGCTTTCCTGCTCTATGCTATGTGAATATATATAGCAAGTGTATGACAAACGTATATATATAGTTGGTATTGCAAGTAATGTGCATTAACTTATATTACGTACATTACTATCTTTTTGCACGGCGAATGCTTGTCTGTGCATTCAAAATAAAGTTGGTTCTGCCACTTAGAAACTATTGCATGCTCAGAGAGTAATTAGTTGTGAAGATTTGCTCCATATAGGTTACAGTATATCTATCTATACCATATGATATCTGTATTGAACACTACATTTTGAATACATATTGAATGCTCTTAGCATTCTTCAGTATTCTCTAAGACGTCATACAGTACCTAATTTTATTATTGGATATACGTGTATTATATGTTATAAAAGCCTACCCATATTGCTGTAGGTTGCTGCAACTATTGTACTAGAGATTTCCCCCAGAACGTTTTCAGGTTTTACCTACTCTGAAGCAAGGTAGTGCTGATTATAGCAAATGGATAACATCAGAACTGGATAGTATTACATTCCAACTATTTTAAGAAAATCTTCATGTATATGTCCTAAATGAATAGTCAGGCTTCCAGGTGCGTTATCAAAAAATGTGATCAATGTAAACATTAATTCTTGTATAATGTGAGCATGTGCAAGTTCAAAGAACATGCCTTTTCTGTGATTAACTAAATATACGAGTCATTTGTGGCAGATTGATGTACATCTTTAATGTGGTCCACAAAACCTTTGTCTGTTTGTATTGAATTCTCTGAGGTGCAGTGCTGTGAATATGTCTGTTACTGTTAGTGTCCAAATTGTATATGAAAATTGTAAGGTATCTCTTAAACTAATATGAAACGTACATCCATGATACTCTCGCTATCTGAAATAAATTATTGATTGTCTTTAACAGCTTACATTATATGTAAACAACATGGTGAATATATATTTAAGCTATTAATAAAGAAAGCATTATCTTATTTAGAAAATTGAATTTATTTACAAAGGTTTGCAACCATGAATGCTGATTTCTTAAGCTACATCTAGTCTATACAATCGGATAGTAGTAAATGATCGGCTACAAACTTATAGTAGTGACTGATCGATCGGTGACATTACTACACCGTTTCCAAACAGAATTCACACTAACAAATTTATCCGATTTATTACATCAAAGGTTTCCCACATTTTCACGTTAATATAAACATTGCATGATTATACGTCCAGACAGTTATCATTTCTTTCAATTTAACAATAATATGCAAAATGCAAGTTTTACTTTTTTTTTACAAATATTTTACAACAGTAAGTGCTGTTACACAGTATTATGTACACACTTCACTCCATCGGGCAACATTCTGGAATTGTGGTGGCAACACTAACACCCTTAACCATGGTAACAGTAGAGGCTTAAGCAATAGGCTGTGACTGTACAGGCATCACCATCATTCTTGGTGCAATGGACATGGCCATCAGCTCCTGGAATAGCAGCTTGCAGGCGTATGGCATACGCACCTGTGAAATCTGTAACGAAACAACTGTTAATAGGTGTAGTCTACGGAGAAGATGGTACAGTCAGCTACGGTATGCGCGCTGAGGTTATCCATGCGGTTTAGGCGCCAAGCAGTGAGACGCCAGACATTTGTAAACTAGTTGTAACTATTAGCTCAGGAATGAAATGCCTTGCTGCATTCATGTATGCCAATGCCCCCCCCCAACATACCACCACAACTTCTTCCCATTGGGAGGGTTACCCATGTGGTTTAGGCGCCAAGCAGTGAGACGCCAGACATTTGTAAACTAGTTGTAACTATTAGCTCAGGAATGAAATGCCTTGCTGCATTCATGTATGCCAATGCCCCCCCCCCCAACATACCACCACAACTTCTTCCCATTGGGAGGGTTACCCATGTGGTTTAGGCTCCAAGCAGTGAGATGACAGACATTTTTAAAGCAGTTGTTACTGTACTAGCTCCGGAATAAAATCCCCTTACTGCATACATGCAACTACACGCACAGGCGCAACAGCACGCACCTGTGTCTTGTTCTTGCAGCCCTTGCACTCGAACGTCTGATTGCGCAGGTTGGCGATGGTCAGTAGGCCGCAGATGTTGCAGACGTGCACCCTGTAGGGGTCGGACACCTCAAACAGACGCTCGCGCAGGAACTGCGCCGCCCCGTGCGAAATCTGACAATCGCGCTCCATCTCTCCGAAGCGAAGACCTCCGTCACTGCAGCACGAAACGCGCGTTTTATTTTTACAATTTTTTTTATAACACAGTAAGTGCTGATACACAGTATTATGTACACACTTCAGCCCAACAGGCACCGCCACACCTAGTGACTAGTACTATTACCGTCGATATATTAGACTACCGTACGATTACATCCTAACCTACGCTAACGCTTCGGGCGGTATAACGATAACTCCACGAGCTGGCCTTGCATCGAAATAAGCAACATCGTTAATCGTCAATTCGTATATATTTACAACAATAGACATATTTCTACGTTCAATTACACTATGAGCAGCCAATTAATGATGCCCAGCGAGCGACGGGTGGGGTCACGTACCGCGATCGTCCTTCCATCGGCTGTCGGTTGAGAATCTGGAGAGGACCGCGGGCACGAGAGTGGATCTTGTCATCGACCATGTGCTTCAGCCGCTGGTAGTACGTGGGGCCGAGGAAGATCTGGGCGTTCAGCTTCCGTCCCGTGAAGCCATTGTACAACACCTGCCACACCGAGCGGAAGTAAAGCATGAGCGGTCGTCACGACAACATCCACGGACGCGCGACAAAGAGTTGCAGTCGTACTCCGTCAGCACAACGACGTGCTAGACCGACCGCAGCCTCTGAATTCGGCTAATGACCGTTCACAAACCCTCTGGTGTTGAAAAGGCATGTTCTCCGAACTTGCACATGGTTACATTATACAAGAAATGATGTTTACGTTGATCACAATTTTTGATGACACACCTGGAAGCCCGCCTAATCATTTAGAGCATTTTCGCACGAGAAGCGGACTCTCCGTCGTCCCGCGACGCCACTCACCTCGTTGCCGCGGAGATGGTAGCCGTACTCGGCCAGCAGCTTGGAGATCTTCTGCACGTTAACCGTGTCGTTGAACGGCGTCGCGTCGCCGATCTCGCCCTTGTTCGCCGACACCTTGCCCTGGATGCACTCGATCAAATGACCGATGGTCATGCGGCTGGGCACGGCGTGAGGGTTGATGATCACGTCTGGAGTCATGCCCTCTGCCGTGAATGGCATGTCCTGTGCAACGGGAAACGCATTCGCTTATTTCATCTGCCACGCGACGAGCCAACAACAACCGGATGAGGTAGTTGACCATTTCGGCTTGTTCTCATCATTGCAACATATACACAGCACGCATGCGCGTGCGTACACACGCACACACAGGATAATCACAGCACTATTCGTATTCCAAGCCCAAGTATTTATTATCACCTAACTGTTACACTGCCCTTTGCTGCAACAGGCTGGATAGCAGACATTCAAAATTCACAAACTAATATTAATGCACACAGATTCAAAATGTAAAGGTAACCTCAATACTAGTGAACAATGGTTAGTGATTGTAGACCATTTGCAACTAATTGCAACCTAAGATAGCTACTCACCTCCGTTCTGTACTGAATACCACAGGTTCCCTTCTGTCCATGCCGACTAGCAAACTTGTCCCCTATCTGCGGCACTCGCACCGACCTCACTTTGATCTTGGTGAACTTGTAGCCATCCTGATTCAGTGTGACCATCACCTGCTCACACAATACAGACCTCGATAAACTCAGCTGCTTGCCATATAAACAATTTATCTGTGCTACAAAAACCTCCTAAAGATTCTTCTTGACACTGTAAACACGTCTACACAGCAGAGTGGCATCAATAGTGAATTTAACTGGCACACACGATAACTACAATAAGCACTTGCATGCGGAAAGAAAATAAATAGAAATATTCAGAATGAAAGTCCTCGTGTCATCCAGGACTGGGGCAGATACAAATACCACCGCACGCCACCAAGGGGACAATGTCAAAAACATTTTTACTTCAACATTAGTCTTAGTTCTAAATTTTCCTGCATTAAAATAGTGCTAATCGTTATCACAGAGTGCCGACATTACTGATAAAATATTAATAAAAAAAGAAGAAAAAATAGAAAATATCAACGGGAAAAAATTTTATCAATAAAATAAGAAACGATTTAAATCGAGTGAAAGAGTAAAAGATAAGGAAGGTAAAACATGAAGCAGGGTAAAAAAATACACGGGAACGATGAGCGATTTAAACCCCTGAAATCGCTCCTGTGAGGCTCAAAATAGCTCCCGTAAAATTTTTGAACAAAGCTATTTTTCCCCCGGCCTTGAAAAAGAATTCCCGTGGAAAAAAAGAAATTTTCCCCCCTGACACAAGGGTAAGGTCACCTGATCGACGATGCCCGTCTCGCTGGTGCGCAGGAACGTGCTCGCGTCGCGCTTCGTGAACTTGCGCGTGCCCGTGTCCAGCTCATCGTCGTTCTCCGGCAGCGTGATCGTCTTGCCGATGATGACGTCGTCGCCGGAGACGCGCGTGCCCGGCGCGATGATGCCGTCGTCGTCCAGCTTCTCGTAGATGGCGTGACGCATGCCTGCGACGACGACGCGTTATCGGCGTGTGGTTATCAATCCGTGATGGAGGGGCGGGAGAACAAACCCTTCGGTTTTTGAGGACGAGTGTCACGATGTAGAATGGTGTGCCGCACGCCTGCGACAACGTGAATTACGTTGCATTGTGTTGGTTGTTGTACGTGACCGTGTTGTACGCGACTGTGTTGTACGCGACTGTGTTGTACGCGACTGTGTTGTACGTGATTGTGTAGTACGCGACTGTGTTGTACACAACGCTACGTGATTGTATGATGTGATTGCGTCCTGCGATTATGGTCATCAATCTATGACTGAGAGCCGGGAGAATATACCCTTCGGTGTTTGCCGACAAATGCCTAATGCTAGCAATTATTTATGTATACAGGTATAGCTGTGTGTCTACAAGATAATTAACCAACAAATAAACATTTTATCATTAGCACTTTATCATAAATACTCATAATTATACATTGCAAGAATAGCGTAGTGCAATGCAAAGTGAGGAGAATGCTCTTTAGCATCTATGTGGACACACTTACCTTGTACAAAATCTCTGTTTGGCTTCTCAAAAAGCTCTTCTTGGTCTAAACCTTTTTTAGACTCAGAGTCCTTGTATGACCGGTAGAACACCGACCTATGCATTGTAGAATATGGAAAGATTATGAAATTGGTTTAAACAAGACACAGATAAGCAGTTAAAGCAATATTATTTGTAACTGATATAGTGAATGTCAAGATCAATCACTATAATCATTAATGTTAAGCTATATTAAACATGCAGTCACGTATTTGGGTCAATGTACATGAGGATTAAAAAAGTGTTATTATTAATATTATCAGAAAATGTGTATGATATGTTTTCGTGTATGGTAAGTGCAATCAACACTTGCAGACACTGAGTGAATGCTACTAAAGTGATGCATGCATATTTTACATGAGAACTCTCATGCGTTACCTGAACAAACCACGGTCTACAGCCGATGCATTCATGATGACCGAGTCTTCCTGGTTGTAACCGGTGTAGGATGCAATGGCCACCACAGCGTTGATGCCTGAAACACATGCAGGTAATACCAGCTACAAAACTAATTCTATAATATCTTGATAATTCTATCCTATATCAAAGCTGCAAAATGAAAATGACAAACTCTGAAATAGCTGAGCTTTCCCAGTAGCACCAAAGTATTTTTATTAAGTCCAAATAACTGTCAATTTTCCATGAGTCATTAGGCCCAAATAAATGTCCACATGTAACATGTCACTCTGAATGAAGAAAGAAACAATCTCTACTTCCGTGACTTCCGGCAGAACTGATAATAAGACAACACTCTAGATCCTCAACCGTGTGACACTACCTCGGGCCATGTGAGCGGCCAGGGCACGGTAACGAGGCAAACTTACCGGCGGGCAGCTCTCGGAAACGCAGGTACTCCATGGAGCGCGTTGTCACGAGAGGTTTCTGCGGGTAGTAGAGCACGTGCGCTAGCGTGTCCATGCGCACGTGGAAGTTAGTGATGTAGACACCCATCGCCTGCTTGCCCATAGCCGACTGATACGTGTTACGTGGCGACTGTAGCATACATACGAGCAATGCATTACACACAGACATAAACGCGATGCACTTAAACAAACAGAAATGTAGTTAGCACACTTACATAGACAGAAATGCATTACGCAGGTATTCTACGTACCGTAGATACCGAACTAATATTACGATGTATATTTTTTCACGCAGATTACATATACATTTCATACACTTTAAAACTGATCGTACGCTACTCTCCTTTGTGCTCTTTACGGTAGAACATCGACCTGCTCTGCCAAAACACACGCGAACAAGATGGAGAGTTAAGCGTCTGCTAACCTGGTTGTGATCGGGGAAGGGTATGATGGAGGCGCACACACGCACTAGCGAGATGGAGAGTTAAGCGTCTGCTAACCTGGTTGTGATCGGGGAAGGGTATGATGGAGACGCACACGCGCGCGCGGGCGAGATGGAGAGTTAAGCGTCTGCTAACCTGGTTGTGATCGGGGAAGGGTATGATGGAGGCACACACACGCGCGCGGGCGAGATGGAGAGTTAAGCGTCTGCTAACCTGGTTGTGATCGGGGAAGGGTATGATGGAGGCGCACACACGCACTAGCGAGATGGAGAGTTAAGCGTCTGCTAACCTGGTTGTGATCGGGGAAGGGTATGATGGAGGCGCACACGCCGAGGATCATCGAAGGGTGAATCTCGCAGTGCGTGTACGTGCTGCAGTAGCCCGAGCCCTTCTCGGCGAGGTCGTCCGGGGTCATCGCGAGCATGATCGTCTCCTCCTCCAGCGTGTCGATGTACTCTACGACGCCGCTCGCCACCAGGTCTTGCCAACTAATCGTGTTGTGTGCGAGTGGCAAGTTAGTGATGGAGACACCCATCCAGTGAAAAAAATACACGGGGGCTCGGGGCGATTTAGCCCCCGAAATGCCAAAAAGAGCCCCCGGAAATTTGCATAGAGTTCAATGCAAACCAAATTTTAGAGTGCTATTTTCATGCACGCGAGCTTGAAAAGTAGCCCCCGAAAAATATATTATATTTTTTTACCTGCACCCATCGCCTGCTTGCCCATAGCCGACTGATACGTGTTACGTGGCGACAGTAGCATATATATATATGAGCCTGTGACCTCAGACGAGTGTCCGTAAATCAACAAGTTGAGCGCTCGATAAAATGTGCGCTGAACAAATGATTGCAGTGCGTTCGTTAAGGTGAATGAGAATCTTCATGCTGCTTACAAGGAAGAGATTTAACAAGTAATAACCTCGGAGTTAAAACAGCAACCCTAAAAGGTGTGCTGTACAGACGACTGCCTTGTATTACAGTGGATGTGAATCCACACACTGACTACAAGGGTTTAACAAGGAACAACTGGGACATGTAATATATGGGTTTGTTTTTTGGGCAACCCTATGAGAGAATAGAAGAATGGATAGTAGAATCATTAGGGTGGACGTGAATCATCACACGGCTTACGAGGAAGAGGTTTAACAAGGAATAACGTTAAAATATATTAAAGTTTTTTTTAGGCAAGTGCACCAACTGCATTAACTGCACTTTTTTGATCACTCTCCTTCTTCGATTACCCCTTGCACTTCTCTACCTCACTCTTCCCCCCCCTCGCTCCTGCCAGCCTTTTTTTATCACCTCAGGCTCTGCATTTTCCCCCTCTCTCCTTAAACACACGACAGGCAAGCAGCCACACCTGTAGTTGTTGTATTCTCTTTCTTTCAGCATGTCGATGTGACGCTTTTTCAGCAGCAGTTTCTGGTTTTCGACGATGAGAAGCGGACGACAGATGCGGCCTGCGTCCGTGTAGATACGAATCTCTTTCTCGCGAATATCACGAATCATCGACACCTGCAGGAGAGCACCGCGTTAACAAACTGACAGACCAGGGGTCGAAATAAGTGATGGTCCGATGCCATCAAATAATCAGGAGAACCTTCTGATTTTCAAAGTCAATGGTCCGACGGACCATTGAATATTTTGATCCCATTTCACGGAATTTTTTTTTAGGTTTCCACGTTCCA